AAGTATCTCCCGACAATTGTGTGTCGGTCTAGTGACAACCCTAGTATACAAATAAATAATGAACACCAGCCCTCATAGCATGGCTACGCATGATAGTCGCGACGAGCGCGATAAAATTTATAGAGCGCTATTGGCTGTCTCAATCAGATCTAATATAGATTATATATTTGCGCTTAGTTCAATTATGTCGCGCGCACCGCGACTATCATGCGTAGTCATGCTACTGGGGCTGGTGCGGGTAGTTAAAAAAACTCACACGGCTGGAAGATGTTGACACCCGCCTCTACACTCTCTTCGAGACCATGAACGTTGCAATATGTCCGAAACGTCGAGGTAAATAGAATATGTTTTTATACACGATTAAGTCCCGAAATTAAAATCAAATAATACTGTGAAGACTGCGTTTTGAATGTGAAAATCTCGCCTTGTGCGCTAGTAAAGTATACAAGGTGTAATGGAAAGTTGCAGTGGAAATTCAAGATCGTAGAGAGTTAATATCAAATAGTAACTTGACATAACATTTTTTGTTGCACACCAGTAATGTATTTTTTAATGCGATAATACATCGTATCGATATTTAGTCGCATATCCAGCACAGCACATCAATCACAGAAGTTTTATTGCTATCTTGGCAGTCAACTATATAATAAAATCAATAACATCCTACCAAGAACCAGCTGTAACCGAATGGTGGTAAAGTGGCTTAAGTCATTGGACTATGAAGAACTACAAGATTGAAAACTCATAATATCCCATGCTATAATTACGGTCTTGCATATTCACATACAACACACACACGCAGAAACTCATCCTCTTTTACCTAAAAACACATCTCAATTTATTTACTTTTGTAAATTTTTAACTGACTCTAAAAAAGGGGGTGGTTCTCAATTCGTCTGTATGCTTTTTTAATGTATGTGACGCGATAACTTCGGCATTTGTGAACCGATTTGGATGATTCTTTATTTGTTGGAAAAAGGGTACCTCAGTAGTGGTCCCGTTTAAATTTGAAGAAAATGTTCTATCTCTAACGGTGGCAAACTATGGGATGAATCCGTTTTCGCGCACTTTCCGCTAACCGATTTCAATAAAACTTGGCAATTAGATGTAATTTCACGAACTTTAGAGGTCGGTCTTTTTAGTACTCTGTAGTAAGATTATTATGAACTGTAACTTAATTTTCATTCTCTCTTACTAAAATATAGTAGTAATTTGATTATTAATACAAAGATCAAACACTCGGAAAAAATTCCTTCCATCCGGCCGGATTCGAACCGACGTCTCCTAGCTTACCGTGTCAGACGCTATAGCAATTAAGCGGAACGAACCAGAGGACCTCACGAATTTTTCTATGTGCTTGCGTCGTGTCTTTGTATTTGGTTTTTCAACGACTTTTTAGTCGTAGCGCCATCTATGAGAAATCTATGAAAGCTTTATCACCCAATTAGATATCTTTACAGTTACCAGCCCTAGCGAGAAATGTCGCTTTCACTGTATTTCAAATTTTTATTGAATTGATATTAAATTATTTTTTGTGAAATTATTCCACTAGTTTGTTATAATTATTAATACAAAGATCGAACACTCGAAAAAATTCCTTCGATCCGTCCGGATTCGAACCGACGTCTTCTAGTTTATCGTGCCAGACACTACAAAGATACGACGCAAACATATAGAAAAATTCGTGAGGTCCGCTGGTTCGTTCCGTGGCTTAGTTGGTATAGCGTCTGAGACGGTAAGCTAGAAGACGTCGGTTCGAATCCGGACGGATCGAAGGAATTTTTCCGAGTGTTCGTTTCCGAGAGAATAATTTCACAAAAAATAATTGAATATCAATTCAATAAAAAATTAAAGTAGTAATTTAATTTAGCAAATTATGAAAGTAAGTAGTTTATCGGAATCAGATAACTTATTAACTGTTAGCCAGCCAATTTTTACCGTTGATTTACTGTACCTACCTAATTTGTGTAAAGCTGAGTTTAACCTAATCGGAATAACATTTCGCGGAATGGACTCGGTGACCTTTAATATAGGCATTTTTATGAAGGCACAAGTCTCTTGCAAATAAGGTCTTATTTTAAATTCACTAGTCAATAAGCATTTATGTAATTTACCTTGTATGTTGAAAGAAAATAAATAAAATTATTATTATTATTTATACATGAAAATAGCACCCAAATATAAAATAATTATGTGCTTTAGTACCATTTCACGTAATATTGTAGAAATAAATTAAAGGTTGGTTACACCACTTTTGCGCTGATAGTCTCAAATAATCGTCAGCAACTTCTGGTGTAGTTTCTGATCGACTTGAGAATTGACGGTACATGGCTATTCGACAAGATCTTCGTTTTATCCATGTTCATTTAAACAATAAGTTTCGATATTTGTAGTATACCAATATATTAAAAATAATGTAACCAAAACTTGTTTGAATAAAATTCTTACGCAATCGCTCACTAGATATAGCACCTTCATGTGTATTGCAAAGGTTTCTACTTGATATCATACCACTTTTTCCAAGAATATTCATTCGAAGAACATTTTTAAATGGTAATTGTAAATCTTAAAAAAACTAAATGTTAGATTGTTTGTGAAGAATATGAATAATTTATGATCGTATTCCATCTAACTGAAGACGAAGGGAAAAGGTGTACTTGCACGAAATCACGATCCTCAGCAATAGGGACCAACGGAGGACGAGGATTGTCAGTTACGGTTGTGCGAAAAAATAATAATAACGTTCACACTCATAGCCCCGCACTAGGGAAATCCTGTATCGCAGGTGCCATGGACACACACATACACAGACAACCACAAATTACACCCAAACTCACGAGAGAAATAAATGTAGGCCATACAAATATTTCTCCCGGCCCAAGAATCGATCAAGGGATCTCTGTGTGGCAGTCCAGCATGTCCTTACGGCCACAACCTCTGACAGACTGCGTCAGTCATAATCATTCAGATCATTCAATCGGTTTGTAAAGTAACCGATTTATATTAATTATTTTGGTACAGTACTTTTGTAACATTAAATTTTAACAACCGAGATGAAGAATTGCTTTCAATTACTTAACATACTTTCTTTAACTTATCTTAACTTTTAAACCATAATTTTAACATTTTATACTTCTCGAAAGATTTTTTAATGTAATTCACCTTTTATCGTCAACAGTCAATGTACGGAAACGGAAGGTGTGCCTCAGGGAAGTATAATCAGTCTCTTTCTGTTTCTCTGATAGAAAAAAAATTGCAAAATAATAAAAAAAAATATTTGTGCTGCCTATACAATACACACTTTGAATTCGGTGTATGCCTTTGCACAAAGGGAATTTAATTTAATTTGTCATTGGCTAGCTCTGCATATCCTGACTCTAAATGTGTCTAAATCCAAATGTATGACGTTTTCCATTTGTGAGACGGACTATATAATACTCGCTGTAGCGAATTGGAGCAGTCGCTACAAATCTCTCTTGTACATGTATTTTACATAGTCTTTTTAACAGTTTAGTTGAAATTCTAAATTTGAATGTACTTGTTTTTGGTGTCTTATTCTTTTCGTCATTGTCTTGTCTTTCGTGCCCTTTGGTCTTGCTCACTCGTCAACAGCACCCACCCGAACCCCATTGATACAGTCCGCTATACTCGCCCCTGCACAGAAGTGGGTACTCCTGTTTTAACTCATCGAATTCAGTCTATGATTGTCCTGGTATATGAAATGAAGAGTTTCAAGAACCTTGGTGTCACGTAGCATAGAAATTTGTTGTTTGACGAACACATAACAAATCTTGCTCAAAAAGTTAGTAAACTCACTTATGTGTTCGAAATTTTTAGACATACATATATCAAAACTGTAAGTAACACCATATCGGTCTGCGATTAGTTCCGGTGGAATATCAAAGACACTTATGTTGGAGCTCGAGATCATCTTTAAAGTGCCTATTTTAAGCCACGTCTGTTTTCAACAAAAACCGTTTACTCTGAGGCTGAGGTGTTGACCATAAAATAGTTGTACGTTTTTTCCACTTACGTACAGATAGTCTCTGCTTCAGAACACATGCTTGCTTTGAGGCGTCGGTATTAAATGTCATGTAATAAAGAACTGGTTATATGCACTGAGCTACGAGAATACTGACCACCTTCTATATTAAACATTGTTGTTTCACACTATAAACATAAATCATTGGCCACACTTTATACAGAGCGCATATCATTCATAATTTATTCTTAATATGTAATTTCGTTGCAGTTTTAATTATTTAATTATTATACAATTATTTTTAAATATGTTTATAAAATAAATATTTTGAATGTTTTTTATTTTATTTTCTAATTTTTAAATACCTAATTCTTGTTTATGTCTCTATCCTCCTGTTTATGACTCTAGGTAAACACAAAATTCTATTCTATTTATATATATTCTACTTTTGTATTAAATAACTGTATTTGTTTACTGCCTGTGCTATTACCAAGTGGGGGAGTCAGGAGAGCCATAGCACAAGATTTATATAATTTGGACTATTTTGAACTCCTGCCTCTCATATATAAAGTCTATTTGCGATCATCTACTTATATTTTGTACATGTTGCAGATACTAAATGTCTTTATTATTATTATTATTATTATTGATAAAAAGAATAATTTTATTAATTAATTTAATAATTGATCATCACTAAATCGTTTGTTTACATTTGCACTTTACAAAATCTTTTATTACAAAATCGTAATCCATGGGATAAAAAGTATGACAGTATTGTAATCAAATCAAGTTACAAAATAAACAAACTTAAATATATGGACATGAAATTAGAATTCAATCTTATCATTCCACCAATTTTAAATATGAAGTAACATTGTCTACCGAAAAAGTTAATGCGAAGTAAATAAAATAATAGGTAGGGCAACGAAAACATTTAAAAACAACGATTTAAAAATCATTCTTAACAACTTTCATAATTTATGCTGTTCGACTTAGATCTTAAGAATATGTTTGGGTAGAGTATTCGGGTAGAGTTTCACAGTGATTTTATGAAATCAGATATTTGTTCTCGATGTTCTCTACCATGAAGTGCGCTATAATATCTGAAAAATGTCATCTAACGTAAATATATTGTAAGTAACACGAATAACATAAAGTCACCATACGATGACCTTTCAAGTGATTAATTAAATTCGACGTAAAATATCTTTATTTTTTAAAGCAAAACATGACTCAGGTCTAATATTTTGTATATTTTAATTTGTATACTGTCTGTGAGATATATATTTAATTCTTAGATTTCCACTACAATTCTGAACACCAATAGGAAAGTTCATAAAATTTTTTGGATAGTTTTAGTCGGTGGGCTATAAATTTTTTTTCACCTCGCTAGCTCGGAAAGGCTTTCCTTCTTATTAAAAATCTGCACGCTAGAGTGGAAAAGGTTTTTGAAATTCGAACTGTTCGAACTTGACGATGGCCTGTGGTGCTCGTAAATTTTTCCTTCGATGGAAAAATAAAAACATAACGACACGTTGGACTACGCGATTTGTCGTACATTATTTATATAATATAATTGGTATATTTTGTTCTTATTAATGTTGACATTAAATTGGCAACGATAACTAATTTTGTTTATGAGATTATTTTTGATGTATGAATGAATTAAAATGATTTGTTATAGTAAACTGTTTCTCTTTCATCTACCATTTTCCATGCTATAATGAGGTGAAAATATCACGTGTATTTCGCTTAGCAGCAAAGTTGTTTTCGTGGCTTGAAACCCTCGCTACGTTCAGGATTCTATTTTTGAAATTCAATCTTAGTATCCTTCGCTTGCTCAGGTTTCAACACCAGCACTCGCGTCAAACAGCAACTTTGCAGCCTTTTATAACAAATAACCACTCCTGTAAATATGTGTAGTTATAGAGCGTTAAATAGTAAAATGCATGACACACTTTATAAAGGGCTGTGATGATATTTATCATCGACATAGATCCTTATCGTCTTCACGGGCCTCGCACTGCGTGTCTGACGCCGCGAGAAACAGCTTTCCACTTGCGCAGGCACATAGTTGGTATACTTTTGCATAGCGCGTGCCGTGTTTCGGGTTCTCCGTTGTATTCACTAGCTTTAAATTACTAATTTGTATGTTTGAGGCCTCAATTCTGATCTGAAAAATACAGTCATTTTTAAGAATAAAATTCATACGACTGATATTGTTTTTATGACATTGTTAGGGGGTTCTGTGATCCTTTGAATATTTTTCCGTTTTTTTTATGATAAAAGTGGTGTCACCCAGAGCTTTAAATAGCAAACATATGAGAGGCACTGCCACTGTGACTGTCACCCTGAGACATAAGTTGACAAGTCCCATTTCACCAGCACCTTTACCCTTCAAAACCGGAATGCAGTAATGCTTGCCGCTTGGCGACAGAAATAGGTAAGGTGGCAGTACTTTTCTGGACGAACTTTTTCACTACGACCTGTACTGCTACTAGAAAACAAAATAAAAAAGAGTTGTCATCACAGTCATATGATGACAACAACTTTCCCAAAGAAAAATCTAAAATATATATTATTATGAATGATCAGAATTGGCTCCTTCAGCTCTTGGTTTTGACTGTGAGCTATTAAAAATATGATTATCAAATTACTTACAGCACCAGCTTCTGAATGCAATGTAATGTTGCTAAGTGATGTTACGTCAATGCTGCCTGCTCTGCTTTCTATGTTTATAGACTGCGGTGCTTTGAGGTCTAGACTTCTTGTTGAAGATTCCATTCTGTGAAACAAAAAGTACATTTATTTTAACGTTCGATAAATTTACTCAGACTTAAACTACGTTTTAGTATTTACATCTTAGTCGTAGTTGGTTGAACCATCAATTTCAATATTACTGAATCTGTACCTTTGCCCAAACATTTGTTCATAGATTGTTTATAAAACTTTATACGTAGCTATACCAGCGGTTCATAAAAGTTAGTGAGTATTGGAAACTTGTAGATGATGCGGAAACTATCGGAGCTCTTGGTTTTGTTCCAAGTTTGATACAAACTGTGTAAATCACGTAAAGGTTTGTCGAACTATCCATCAAATGCGGCAATCCAACGATTCATGTCGTTTTTTTAAATTTTAATTTTATATTTCGTGATTGTATTGAGTTTTATTTAATATTCCAGGAAAATATTGTATGTTATGTATCCGATTGAAGAATACTGTGATCAATGAACGATGTGGTTTGTAAGAGGATGTAGCGAGAAAAATAGATAAGGGTTATTCTGAGGTGGTTTAGGCATATGGAGCGGATGAATGAATGTGGATTACCGAAAGAATTATATATAGAGCTAAAGTGGAAGGGGTCATTTGAAGAAGACGGCCCCGAAGGACATTCTTAGATCAAATTGAAAATTTGTAATTGTAAAATGTATTTGAAAAGGTGGTTGATGAATGTAAGTGAGGCAAGAGAGATTTGTTAGGATCGTGCTAAGTGGGTAAGTTACCCCAATGGGAATCTAAGGGCGTGAGTATAAATAAAATAAATAAAATGTTTCGTGCGTAGGAATCATAAGTGCATGAAATTTTGTACTTTTCTAGCGAAAATAGCCTTTTCGATATATAAGCTTGTCTTATTACGATATTTCCTTCACGGGCAGCGATAAGTATTGTTACTAAAATTAAATATCAACAAAAATACGTAAGTCAGAAGGGAAAGTCATTAATACTTGCTGCCACCGGATCGAACAGTCGACCTCTGTTTTGAAACGTAGAAGTTCTCTCACTGGACTACCACCGCTGTTGACTTATTTGTATTGGTAAATTAATGTGTAGGTGACATACGGCTTAAAGTGCCGGTTCCCACAACTCTGCTTCGTTCGTAGCGCTTATTTTGCAAATATGTATAGGTAATATTGGAAGAAAATTATAATTGTAAGTTATAATTGGTACTTTGGCAGAGATTCAGCGTTAAAATGTATCATAAGTATTAAGCAACGGTTATCTATAGGTAAATTCATAAGGTAGATAAAAAATACATTACATTAAATTTGAACCATAAGGAGCTTTCAAAACAGGCGTTTGTACAGCACTCTTGACGGCTAGACCACCTACTCCGTCGACGGCAAAGATGTCTGAGAACACCTTAACCTCATCACGAGAGGCTTGAAAGACACTCTGTCCTCTGGCGTCATTCACTTGGAAAGATTGCCCAGTGCATTCTATACTATCTCGTTCTGAAAAAGGGTTGCAATTTAGATTTAATAAGTAGACGTGAGATAAATAAATAAACAGTAGCATATGATTGTAATTTCAATTTTCAAAAGCGATGTCCATATTGTGGGTAATAATAATCTGTCTATACCTACATACATATATTACAGTTACATATTAACCAAACTATAATTTTCAAAACTGAATTTGCTTACTTATCAGCAGCTTGGCATGTTCTGCTTGATTAGGCTCGGAGACGAGTATGCTGAAATTGCGGTGGGAATGCAGGGTGATGGGCTGAGCGGGCTGCGACGTAATTGTTGACGCTACGAGGTTCTTCGTGATCCATGTTTGTCCCGCCACTTGTATACCACCTTTTACTATTTTGATGGGACCAATACCTGTCTGTAATACATAATTCCAATTTACTGGACTGTGATGCTTAAAGAAGTTATCTATTGAGCCATGAAGTTGAAAATGTACTTACCACACTTAGCCTTAAAACACTGATAATCCACAGCGTTAATCCAATATTTAAAAAAACTGTTATCATTAGAAACATTATAATACAGTAAAGAGCAGTTCTCCGCCATCCTCTGTGCAGCACTGTAGGTAGACATGTGGGTTTAGTTTGCTCGTCTGAAGTGGCCGCAGGCGAGTCACTGGTCGGCGTGCAGCCCCAACCGCGGATTGCACCCGTATCAGTATCCGCTACGCTCATAGCTATAACCGCTAACTTATCAGATGACTGAAATCCACCTTAATCCTGTAACAAAGGAATACACCTAATGTCAATTACAGGTTAATATAGTTCTAGGATAATGTTATATTTATTACACGATTTGCACTATACTACCGTTAATTTAAATAGGAATGGTTTTGTTTTCCAATACTCAATTTAAAACGTGTTGCGACGTGAATTAGCGTAAATCAATTCTGTGGCATATCGTTATTAACCCATTTATACGTCCAACTGCTGGGCATGGGTTCAGGTGAGGGGTTTTCCGAAGATTGCGAACCTTCTTCAACGTGCAGGTTTCATCACGATGTTTTCCTTCACCAAACAGCTCATGGTAAATTTTAATTAATTTACCGGGCCCGGATTCGAACCTTCGGCCTCTGTTTGAGAGGCAGTAGATTAAACCATTAGGTTAACACGGCTTTCTGTAACATATAATATTGGAAAATATAATGTGATGCAAATTCTACTCAGGTACTATTGCTGTTAGATTTTATCTCGATTTGTAGTGGAAAGAGCAAGTGACTTATATAAAAATGATATGACATGACTGACAATTGAAATATCGAGAATTTTCACTCATATATTTTATTGTTTTCGTCTGTACTTGTGCCAATCATCAATGCAGATTACTATTTTTAGAAGCAAAAGATAGTCAATTTACTAGCTGATATAAGTCTAATATAATGTCTTACGTTTATTCAAGAAAAAATTTTCTCATTCGAAATTGTTTGCCAACAACGTTTTAGTATTTTATTCATTAATATGTAGAGAGCTTTTCAGTAATCTTACAAAGAATAGCGGTTCGGAGTTTTTAATATGCTTATGCTGCGGTAATTGAAGGAAAAACGCCGTAACATGAGCGGATAAAGCTGCGTAATGAACGGTGCAACGACTAATGAGTGACACAGCGGGAGGTGGCAGTGCACCGCGGCGCGAGTGGCGCGGGCGGCGCGGTAGGAATATGCCGAATATCGTTATAATAATATTGTTAATTTCATGTCAATTTCATTCAATGTCAAGTCAAGTCAAGCTAATTTTTGGTCCTGTTCTGTTTTTAATTTGTTTTTGTTTCTTTATATTTTTTTCACAAAATTCGTTTTTTTGGTTTGTTTTCGAAGTTTTTTGTTTCTTTATTTTTTTTCACAAAATTCGGGGAGCATAATATTAGTAAATAAATATAGCTGTTTACAAAAATAACAGACAAAGACCTAAAAATAAAGTACTCATTGGAGGTATAGAAGCGTTCTTACGTTTGAGAATCTACTACGTATACCTACTTAATAGACTACCCATATTTTTGTATAAAACAAGTTCTTTTGTCTGTACATAACGTATCTTCGCGATGTGATGCAAATAAACACTTAAATGCAAATTTATTTCTTTAAAAAAATACTTTACTAGTGATGTGTATCTTTGTTGAAGTTTGCATTTGCTAAAAGTATATTTTAAGATAGGTACCGAATATAATTGTGAAACTATAAAAGGCAGGTATGATGCAACACAACACTCTAGCACAAAGCTTTGTCGCTCTATATTTTTAGGTTAGTCTACTTTATATTGACCTGACAGTATATCTGATAGGTATATCAATATATATCTGATAGGTGTAAAGATAATTTATTATTTAATAATTTCTTTTTATTTAATAAATATTTTTTTAGTTGTACTATTTGTTTTATATTATTGTTTGTATCGATGATAAATCAATTATCCCTTCACATTGAAATTTTAATTGTAATATTGTGACATTATTAATATGAAATTTTAAGACAGTTCTATTCATTGTTTTAGTAATTGTTGTTAGCATTATTTTTTATCTAAATTTAAGGAACTTTACCGTGTAAGTAGATGATAATGTCGCTCATGGATGTTATTATTTGGGTTAAACAAAAATTTAATTATAAGTCATTATATCGCACGCTATAATAAACAATACGAACTACGTGAAACAAATTATGTGTATGTGAAATTTTATAACTCTGCCATTTAAGCATAAAAAAGTTATCAATTAATTTGGTTCGTACAATCTGAAATATGTCTTGAAAAGTATTCATTTTGCACATGTGGCCTTATTATACCAAGGGTGCGAATTCGCACTCTTGCTTTATATTATAAATTATTATTAACATAATAAAGTTCCGTAAGTCTCGTAAAGAATTAATTTTTTTCGTTCATTTTTTAACATTGAAGTGACTTAGCAAATCGTCGCCTTACTTTCTCAAACTCGTATCTTAAAGTACAAAGTTACTGAAATGCAGAAAATGGATTGTATATACAAATTTTGCACGCTGATTTCACATCACTTTTCCTTCATATTCACACACTGACTTTTACCTATTCTTATAGTAATGCATCCAAATTAACACCCTTGATAAGAAATTTAAAATAAATAGAAAGTTTCGCCATCTCCTGAATAATCACTCTTTATAAGATACCAGTTTGAGAAAGTAAGGCATCGAAATGTTGTTTATTGTTAATTTATTTATATAATGCGAAAGATGCTTTTTATGGATTTTCTGTTAGTTTTGTAAGTATTATTGTTTATTAATATGTTTAAATAACTTAGTGGTGTGAGTATGACCTGCTTATCAACTGCTTAAAGTATCACGACATCGCACTTGCGACTTTATCTCAACTCATTTTTTTTTTTACTGAACTGTGTAATCATTGCTTATTAACATATTCAATTTCCATCAACGGGGAACAGTTTCCTCACTACTATCATTTCAAATTATATTATATTACAATGTAAGCTATTTGTATCCTTTAAAATAGAATAAAAAAGTATTATTAATTAGGGATTTCATGTCATGTATACACTTTTTTTGGGAAAAATGCACTTATATTGTGTTGTATTTGGAATTGTATGTACTTATTCTTCATGCCCCACTGAATTAATATATTTGAATAATTTAAATGAAGTTATATAACAACTTGAAATATTTTATACAGCGCTGAAAACCTGAGATTTATTTCGTTTAGTGTATCTAGCCACATGTGAGTTTCTACAAATATTGTATTACACGTGCATAACTAACAGTGTGAACCATCGCAGCAACTGGATATTTCATGAAATTGCACTACGTTACGACTACCTACAGCTCACAAGTACGAATATTTAAAAGTATAGAGACCTTATGAATAAAACATCAACTGATTTCAGTAATGCTCGCCAAGTTCGTCGCCTCGTTCTTGAACTTGAATGTACTTGCAAATTTGTACCGATTTTTTTTGCACGGGCAATATAATTGTTTACACATCAACAAAGTCAACACTGGAACTTGTAAATTTAACATGAGAGTGGAGCATGTTTTTCTGTTGTCAGAGATAGGAAGTACTAATACTGCTGCGCTGCACCAAGAGCGTTCTATGACTGAACCTAGGTAAATTGGTAGATGGTGAAAGCAACACTCGAAATATCTAGCACAAGTCGAGGCGGCGTGTTCCAGAATATAATATCAGGCGCTGGAGTGGCTCGCCGCGTCTGCCGCCACTGCATCGCGGCCGTGCCGTCCTACTGCCCGCGCTGACTTGGGCCCTCATAATACCCGACGTACTCGTAGTGCAAAAATAGCACTCTGCTCTAGAGTCGGCATTGCTTTGCTCTGCACAAAAATATAAAAACTATAGATATATCGCTTGCCGCGTTTTCTGTTTTCGCAACGTCTATGCTGCCATCGATCCAAAGGCCGGAGGTATAAAAATAAAATCCAGGTATATTCGAAGTCAATGGCTCATCTAATTAAGTAGAGCGTTGAAGAGCAATATGCAAATTGGATTGTCATAATTGAGAGAACAGTATAATAAGTTTTCATAGCTTGACTACTTAATTAAAACGTCTATTTATAAGTTCACATTACTGATGCACCACGGCATAAAGGTAGTATAGCAATTTATGCCACTTACAGCTCTATCACAAACATCCAACGAAGCACAAAACTACATCCAACGGCACAATGTTAATTCTCACTATTGCGGGTTAGTGTCAATAACCAATTAATGCGACACTTGTAAAATGAGGAGAAAGGGTACAGAGGCAGCTGCACGAGCGGAGGGTGATCACAGAACTGGCGGCAGCGTGCGCGAGCGACGCCGATGCCGATTCCACCTCGTTTTGAAGTGCTGCATTTTTAATCGGGCGCCTGTCTCGCGCGGGATATAACTCGGGATACTCTCCATACAGCTGAGCTCTCTCCCTATTATGAATTCTAGTTAACGTTATTATTAACTGACACCTCCATATAAACCTCGTTAATAATTAAAATGGATGCGACCGTGTCAACACATACGAGATGCGGACGTCATTTGTTGATATAACAGTTTGTGGATTTGTGGAACACTAGTCTATTTTTGCTTGATGATTCGTTTATCATTATTTGATGTATCTTATTTATGTCGTTCTGAACTGGACTTACAAAGCTTCAGACGAGTGTCGAGAAAATATACTTGGTTACATTTTCATGAATGAATATATATAGGGATGAATTTTTCTTGCATACTTAGGTAGGGCTGAATTCAGAAAGGCATTCAGTTTCATAACTTTTAAGAATATTGTAGCACATATAGGGTGAAATATAAGTAATTTTTGAAGTAATAATAATATGTTCATGTGACATCACAAGTACAGAGAGCAATATGACGAGATTTCCAAAAATAATATAACAAATAAGCTTATGCTAAATTGACATTACGTTTTAACATGTATATACATCGCAAACGAGATGTCATGCCTGGAAAATAAATGGGAAATATTCCTTAATTCATATTGATGGGATCCAATGGTGATGATACCCATAAATTTTGACCGTTTCTACTATATGCTCTTATCGCAGCGCATGCAGTTGATTTTCTTCGCTTTGTTCAAAGGGTACTCCTAACTTTTAACATTGCTTGCGCGTACAGTGTTGTAGTTATTATTCTTGACTCGAATGTCACCCAGTATATTGTACCTATAAACATTGTGGCTGTCAAATTTAGCTGCCAGGTTAAAAAAGAGAGAGATTTCGAATGTTTTATCATAAAGTTACTCACATATAAAAATAAGGCGCGGCAATAATCCAAGGCTATATGCCAACATCGATGAAATCATATTGGATGTCACGGAGTATTTTCATCGAAGTTTTATGGACCTGATAAAAGTGGGCCCCTAGGGCTAACACGCCGGCACTTTTTCAGATAAGTAACGAGAGAAGAGGGCATTGTAGGCCAGTTCGATCGATAACGTTTGAAACACGTAAAAGTTACTAAATAACTATGCATACGTCAAGATAGGAAGTTGTCGCCATACGTAGACGACATTATTAACATTAAGAAACATTATATTAGGAAGTATCAATTACGTCATGACATAAAATAATTTCAAACACGTACCACACGGCGTGATGGGTTAGGATTATTATGTATTTTAATATGACTTATTTCTGTAGGAGATTACTTGAATAAATAAAAATTTATACGTTAACATTATGAACGTAATTTAGCTGTATTTATACCACAGAAAATTCAATATGTACATCGAGGGGGGACGTGGCAGCGCAGGCCATGATTATACGGCCTGTTACGATGCTCCATTTATTCAGGCGATGTTCCCACTCGATCCTGTTTTAGGAAACAATCCCCGTGATCCCGCCGTGATGGTGCATAATGTCGCCCGCTACCACTTCGCAGTCGTAGACTGTGTTCAAAATCTTAATTTCGCCGCGAAGAGGAAAATTTGTTTTCATATTGATAATTTATATTGATAGTGATAATTTGTACGTAGTTAGCTATGTACTTAACAGGTCTATAGATGCTGTATATTTAGAAATAAGTATGTGGAACAACAGAGTCCAAAAATCATTAGTATCTATGTATAGGTTTTTATATCCTTACTTATTTTATTTTTAGTGGTGATGGCCACTATGCGACGACAGATAGTGCATCAGAAGCCAAACTTACATCATACCTGCATTACTTGAAAATTGAAAAAGTTCTACGATTCCTTTCTCGTAGAAATGGTTCTCGTTTACGTTTGAGTGAGTTGTCATTGTAGGGATTCAGACTCGCGGTCTCATTGAAATTGCACTTCGTGGAATCATTCCATTATGTGTCTAAGTTCAAGGGATTTTCTAGAAAACGAGTTCATTACACAGCTTTTGAGTTTTAAATTTAACTAGCAACTAAGCAATGATTTTTTAATATTCAATTTGAAACTTAAAATTTGTTTTACTCGTCTACTTTTAACAAGTTTTGGTGGAAATTGCAATGCATAAAAGTTTTATTCGTTGTATCAGAATCAAGTGTTGCGTATTTTTAGGATAGGAAAATGCAAACCCTCGCGATAGCTCGCGTAAATCCGCATGAAATATTGATACAGTTTCGTGTAAACGTGTAACAAATGCGGTAATTTGAGCCACCTGCGGGCGATGCGGCCGCCGCGCCGCTCTACGCGACTCGCGCCCGTACGCGCCACTGCCGCCGCCGCTGCCGCCCGCCGTTGAATGCACCACTTTTGACCTATCATTTAAGTCTGTTGTTTCAATGGATGAGGTTTTGAAACTTGCTCTTAGTGTTTAATTATAAACAATATATTTTTATTATGTAACATGAACTTTTACATGCTTCTGTTATTTTGTACAAAATGTAGATAATTACAATAGTCATCGTCAGGTGAAGACGGAAGAAAAATAAAAATTCAGCATAAAGCAATCAGTTTATTAATAAAATATACATATAAAACATGTGATACGTGGTATATTAATTGTACAATATAATAGTTACAACAAAACACAGATGGCAAAAAAGTTGTTAGAAACCAAAAACAAAGATCTGCAATAAGCATATAGAAAAATTCGAATGGTTTGCTGGTTCGTTTTGTAGCTCAGTGGGAGCGCATTAGCCACACTTAGCGGAAGGCGCTGGTTCGAATCCAGCAGAATTGAAGAAATTATTGTAAGTGTTCGGTCTTTGTATTAATAATAGTCATAAAACAGTTAATATCAATATAAAACGGGAGAGAAATAAAAAAAAGAAATAAAATTGTCAAACTAAAACCTACATACATAGGCCGCACTATAAGTTTCCAGAACTTACATAAACAATATTTAAAAAGTAATTACAATATTTGAAAATTTAACTCTTTGGCTGTACAATACACTTTGTTTCATCTGACTGTCACTTGTATTTACATTGCGGTGTCATTTTACAAATTGGTTGTCTACATCACCATGGATTTAACTCGAAACTGAAAATTTTCGTAGTATGATTTTCTACGACTTTCAGTGTAATTTGACAGCTTAGCGGAGTTTCGCTCGGCTTCAAACTGCTTTTGGTAATGAAGCACCATGCAAGATGACTATTTATAGCTGGTTTGCAGAATTCAAACGCGGTGGTGTGAATCTCAGTGACAAATTTCATGATGGTCGCCCGTCCACTGCCGTGAACAACAAAGACATCGATGCTGTGCGCCGTATGATCAAAACAGACAGGCATGTGACATACCATGAGATTCGGGCATCTTTAGGCATAGGCATGAGTCAAATACAATCAATACTACACAAACATTTGGGTGTGAAAAAGCTGTGCTCTCGGTGGATCCCACACAATTTGACTGAGGCTCAAAAAACAGATTCAACGAAGGGGCGTCAAATTTGGTGTGGGACATAGTAACAAGTGACGAAACTTGGATTTATAGTTATGATCCCAAAACAAAGCATCAATCGAGCATATGGGTCTTTCTAGATGAGCCGAAGCCAACCAAATTGGCGCGCGTGCAAAGTGCCTCTAAGCGGATGATTGCTTCTTTTTGTAATAAAACTGGACACGTGGGTACTGTTGCTTTGGAGAATGGTTGTACCGTGAATAGTGATTGGTAGAGGATCATTTGTTTGCCGGAAATTATTGACAAACTCGGTAAAAATAACCGTAAACGCCGTATCATCTTGCACCACGCTAATGCCAGTTCTCACATGGCCAGACAGACAAATGAATTTTTGAAGGTGAACAACGTTGACCACCCCGCGCAGGTCCTTGTGACTTTTATTTATTTCCAAAAATTAAGAGACAGTTACGCGGTCAACGATTTTCATCACCTGAAGAGGCTGTCATGGAGGAGTGGCATAGATGTTTTCAAAATTGGTTCTTTCGTATGAAAAAGTGCATTAATGCTAACAGAGAATATTTTGAGAAACAATAAATTCATTTCTGATCATTTATAGTATTTTTTTCTTATTCATTCCGGAAACTTATAGTGCGCCCCACTTAGTACAAGAATAATAGTAGGTAAGTATGAAATTGCCGTTTTAAATATCGAATGGAAAAAAATTTAATGGAAAATATATATCTAATTAATTTTTTATAATAATAAATATAATAATTAATTAAGTATGGACCATTGTCCATGCATTTTTGCCATTTTAATGGAAGTTAATTGATGCCTCTGCTATAGCAATCCTAGCGATGGGAATCAATGAACTGTTTAAAGGTATTTTTTAGATTTATATTATTTTTATTTATTAATTATTTGAATTTTTTTCCCTGTAAAAAGTTATCCAAATTCCGAAAATAAATAAAAATCAGTAGGAGCAAGGTCAGGTGAGTATGGTGGGTGACGGAGAGTTTCCAGGCGTAACTCCTGTAGTTTTGAGAAGGTCCGTGTGTGGACGCGCGTTGTCGTGGAAAAGTGAACTAGACCAATTGACAAGTCTCGGTTGCTTGACAGCGAGCTTATCCATCATCACTTGCAATTCTTCACAATATACCTTTGCAGTAATTGTTGTACCAAGTCTCAAGAATGAACAATTAAAACGGACATAAAATTCGCTCTTTCTAGACGTTTGTTGTGAAACGTTTCTTAAAGCAAATCACGGGACTCAAAGCGGGAAAAACTGTTTTGCTAGATCAAATGGTTTATTTGATTATTTATCTCTATTATTAGGCATTTACTATAAAAATGACGGTCTTACGAAAAATTACGAGGCGTCTAAGGATATTGTCTAAAGAATGTGTTAATTAGCTACACGGTAGGATGTACTTTATCCAATCACATAAAATCCTGAACACAAAAAAAAAACAAATTATTTAAGAATAAAA